CATATGATTGCTTTGTGGCAGGCTGCTTTAACCTTAGTTTGACAATATAATTGTTTGTCTTATTTATGGGAATTTCTGTTATCACACTGCCTCCCCCCACAATTCAAGGCATGTTTTACAGCACATAATTTTGTCTGTCTTTCCCCTTCTCACCCCCTTTTGGCTCCCACCCCACCTCAGGTGGTCCCTCCAACATCATCATGTGCTTTGAGATATCCGCCTGATGTGAAAGGCGCTATATAAAATGTATTGTGCCTGTGCAATAAGATCATCACACAGGAGATATACACATGGAATAGAACACTGCATGTTTTTAATTCTGCTGCTATTAACTATGAAGGAGAAAGCGTGGAAAATCACCAGCTTTCCTCAAAACAATAGGAACTGTGTACAACTACTTGTTAAAAATGGATCCTTATGAACTGATAAGAAATCTAATTGAGATTTTCATATTTTATAATTCAGGAGAACACAATATAGCTTCTGTTCTCATTTTTGTTCGAACTTTTCGTATGTGTGTGGGTGGGAGGCTGTGGCATAAAGAGACGGGGGAGAATGTGTTGTGTAATTCTGTTTTTATGTTGCCAGTTATAGTGCATGCATTCCTAGCCAATGGCAAACATTGGACTTCAAACAAGATGTAGAAATACTTTTTGTCCTCTCTGCTACTGAAGGTGCTGACTCATGCTGCCTTATGGATACGCAAGTGCTATTGCTTCTTGGTCCCTGTTCAAAGAGACCTACCACATAATGTATGATTCAAAGTATAATTGCTTATAATTGTGGTGGAGAACAGGAGTCTGGGGTTGCCCTTCGCCTCCAAGATTAACCTGGAGTAGAAGGATGATTTGGCGGAGGCGAGAGCGGAGCGGTAGGTTTTGATGTAGTCCAGCCAGCTGTGCCGGTGGACAGTTAGGCTGGATTTGAGCCAAGTGTGTTTGGCAGCCCGCACATGGCCCTTAAGCGAGCGGAGGGGCTGGTGAACTAGTTTGAGGATCAGGAATAAGAGGCAGTTTGGGAGGTGGGGGGGGGTGCAAGGAGAGTAAACGCAGAGGATGGGCTGGTGCCGGAGGTGGGCCAGAGGACTCTAGAGCAGCGGAGAGGGATTGCGGGAGATCTTCTTCCACAGGCGGTAGGAGATGGTGGTAGGTTTGGAGGCAATGAGGGAGAGGAAATGGCGGTCAAAATGGCCTTGTCGGTGATGGTGACATCCGAGACACTGAGGCCCCAGGAGATCATCAGGTTAAGAGGGTGGCCGTGAACTTGGGTAGCAGAGTGGATGTGGAGGGAGAGGTTGAGAGGTTGAGAGAGAAGAGAGAAGTCTGAGGAGGTGGAGCAAGAGGGGGTGAAGTGGAGGTTGAAGTCAGCTAGGATGATGAGGTGGTCGGAGCAGAGGCAGAGGGAATCTAGAAGGGTGTAGATGTCAGAGATGAAGGTGGGGGAGGATTTGGGGTGGGGGGGGGCGGTAAATTAGGAGAATTTTTAGTGAGAGATGGAAGGGGTGACAGAGGGTAAGGTGTTCAAAAGAGGGGAATGAACCAGTGGAGTAGGGGGAATAGGGCAAGTGACGCCCTGGAGATGAGGGCCACACCATCACCATGACGGTTGGGACGTGGGACATGGTGGTAGGTATAGCCAGTTGGTGTGGCCTCAGTGAGGGGGAAGGTGTCACCCGGGGTGATCCAGGTTTCCATGAGCGCCACAATATCAACATTCTCATCGAGGAGGAGAACATTGATGGCCAGGGTTTTGTTGCAGATGGAGCGGACGTTTTGAATGCCGATGTGGAGTGGACAGTTGGCAGGGGAATGTGTGGGATGGGAGGGGGTAGTGGATCGGTTGGCAGGGAGGGTGGGGACGTGGAGGAGAGGTTAGCCCCCGGGGTCTGGATCCGGGATGGCTTGCGGCGGTTGTGGGGAATGGGGCAGTCGGTGTGGCTGCCCAGCGGAGGATTCCCAGGCTGGAGCAGAGGGAGGCAGTGGTGGGGGAGGGGGTGGGCAAGCAGAGAGAGGAGCCGGGGAGGGTGGAGAGAGAGCAGGACAGAGCGGGAGAGTTGCAGGGAAGGGGGCTTTTGAGGGAGGGCCAGCTCGGGTCGGGGGCGGTAGCCAAGATGCGCACGCTGAGACGAGAGGCGGGGGATTAGTGGGACATTGTCAGCCTGCAGGAGGCTGTGGGGTTAGAGGTGGGGCATGGGGGGGTGGAGGGCGCTCATTGTGGTTAGCAATGAGCAGTCCGCAGGGGAGGGAAAATGGCGGGAGACAGACAGAGGGAGGGAGAGAGGGAGACAGACAGACGGGAAAAACTGAAAGTCCAAAATGACGGCTCGCCCCAACCAGGTAATGGCCGCCGCTCGATCCCCAAGACCCCGGCCCAGCCTACAGCTACCGGCTGGCCCACTGCCTCTGGCTAACGCCAGTCCCAAGACACCGGCCCTATATAAGGAGGAAGAGAAAACTGAGCAAGATCAGGAGCTTTACAGCCTTGGAGTCATGGCAGGATTAGTTAATAGAACTTGGTTTGCACCCTCAGCAATGGTTTTTCTGAAAATATTCAATTCTTCTTCAAAAAACGTCCTTCAACAACATATTCCACTCCAGTTTCCTCCTCAGATCCTTCAGAATCTTCCATTCAATCCAAGAGTCTTTCTGTGCTCTTCTCAATCGCAATTTTCATAATAAACTTCACTTTAAATTCAATCGTCTTGGGATCGCTCATCATCGTCTTATGTGAAATTATGGGATAGTAAACGGTTGGTAATATTAGGGATAATTTTATTATGAGGTGTCAAGGAGAAAAACAAATTCAGCAAAAATTCAAAAGTGTAAGCACTCTTGTTACAGAAGTTAGTTATTAGTTTGTTGACTCAGGCACTTGATAATGCCTGTGCTATTTGAATGTATACTTAGAAAAGATATCTTATTCTAATTTGAAATGTGATTTAGCAGTTGTCTTTGCTGGAATGAAACTGAATGTAACGGATTATCTTCACAGAAAACGACTTGATTCAACAATATATATCATATTTAGACTTGCTTTGCACTGCCTTTTAAGTTGGCATCTCTTATCAACATTTTTAAATTGATGTTACAAGTTATTCACTGGCAGGTATTCATGAAAGTTATTAGAACAATTCATCATTAAATCCATGAGAATCAATGAAATTCCTCCACATGCGATTATAAATCTCTATACCAGGTAGGTGATGTTTATCCTATTTAATGATTACTTTCAGGAGCGATATAAAAAGTGTTGTACTGGTAATTATGGGCTCAATTATTTTAGGGGAGGATAAGGAAGATAAAAGACCTTTCTTTTCGACCGCGCCTTTGGTCACCCTCCCCTTAGAGCCAAAAATAACTGGAAATAACAACCCGCAAAGAAAGTGAAGAGTATAGGATACATGTACAGTATGGGTAAGATTGCTAAAGTTGCCTCAGTAAGCCTGCCTTGGGGAAGGAAACAAAACAATAATAAATTGGTCATTTTCAATCTACGACTGTTTGTGGGACATTGCTGTGCGCAATTGGCTGTCGCGTTCGCCCACAAATATACAATCAATTCACTTTACAGTGTGATCTGTGAAGCGCTTTGGGACGTCCTCCCGACGTGAAAAGCGCTATATCAAATGCAAGGATTATTATTATTATTATAAAATGGCCAAGAAGAACATGGAATGGGAGTTGGTATGAGAAAAAGGCGAGAGTGCACTTTTAATATCTGCCTGATTGATCAATCAGATCTGGTTGTTTTAACTTCCTTAAAAATATGCAAATATGATTTGGGAATTGGGAACTACAATATATCATGATAGCACCTCCCCAACCCCCCACCCTCTCAGTTTCATCAACTCCAGAAAGTAGTAACCCCATCTCTCACCATTATAAACGTTTTCTTCTTCCTTATATTTAAGTTCACCCATGAGGTGCTATATATATGTAAGTTATTATTTATTATTGGGCGGTTACTTGCTGTCATCTTCCCGAAGGCAGCCTTAGGTAACATTCTGTGATCTCTCCACAGGTCCCAAACTCTGCTATTACAATACAGAGCGCACGTTTCCAAACAGAAGAGAAATCCCAGTCCCAGCACAGGTTGCATAAGTGCAAAGCTTGTAATAAAAAACATGCACAAACACTACAGCACAATAATAATAAAATAATAATAATAATAATAATCCTTGAATTTGATATAGCGCTTTTCACGTCGGGAGGACGTCCCAAAGCGCTTCACCGAACACACTGTAAAGTGAATTGACTGTATGTTTGTGGGCGAACGCGGCAGCCAATTGCGCACAGCGACGTCCCACAAACAGTCGTGGATTGAAAATGACCAATTTCTTATTGTTTTTGGGGTTTTTGGAGGGTTTATTATTAGGCGATGAATTATTTATTAGGCAAGGTTAGTAACGAATTATACACCTGATATGAATAAACGTGCTGATGCTGGTTTGATTACCAACCAGTTTGCCCATACTTTGCTGTTGCTCTAACCTGACTTCTCTTGCATTCTCTTCCCTGCACAGCAAATTGCAGAAGCAGTTTCCAGACGGGACTGTGCACCTTTTGCTTACGAAATGAAAGAGTGAAACTGAATCCTTGACTCGAGAATCGTGACACTTGGCTCAGGGGCGTCATTGATGAGAAGCTGAGGTCGATTTTCCTTTAAGGAAAAACCCTTTTATTTGCGCAAATGCTGTGAGTGTGCATGGGATGGGCAGGGAGGGACGTGTTGCATCCACGTCGCTTTACAGAGAGATATAAATCCCACACCAGAGTCTGGAGCCAAATCAGAGCCTTCTGCAAGAAAGCACCAGACACACAGACACACAGTTAAACCCAAACCTTTTGTCTGAACCTTGTCTGAAGTCAGCAATCCGTTTCAAGACGTTTGCATTAAAAGGCAGCAAAGTTCTGCCTTTATTTTTTTTTAATTATTATTATATATTATATATTATATATAAAAAAAATTTTTTTTTTTTTTTTTTTTTAACTGCTGCAGATCACAATGGGAGCCAATCTGGAAGAAAATAGCAGCAGATCCACTCCAACGATCAAATGCCACAAGTTGATCTTCAATAACATCAAGGTAAGGAAGGGGATCCTCGTTTGTACTTTGCCTTCAATTACCTCTGTTGGTGGGAAACTTAGTACACAGTGCATTGTCAGTGCAGGGAAATGCTTTTTTTTTTAAGAAGTCAAACCTGTCAATGGATTGTTTTCCCCCAAAAGTGCGAGTTTTAACACAGTGCATTCAGTCTATTCAAGATTTTAGCAAGGTTTTCCTGGTGGCACCAACAGGTGCACGAGTTGGCTGATATAACCTACTAATTTCTGTCTGTAATACATTATTTTATTTCATTAAGGAGAAGTTATTTGATTTCCTTCAAGCTGCTATTGTCAGTTTGCCACAATTAAGGTATAGCCTTTGATGTAAACAGTATAGTAAAGGCTTACACCAATCTGCCAATTCGTAACAATTTTATTTTATTTTATTTTATTTTATTTTATTTGCACCTCTAGAAGACTGGAATCTTCTATCGTATCTGTGTCTGAAGATAATTGTGACACTTTCCCTTCCAATGTCTTTAATTATTCCGTTATTCATTCCCAGGTGTTTGTGCTGTGTCACGGATTGCTGCAGTTAGCTCAACTCTTATACAGTGCTTACTTCAAAAGCAGCATCACAACCATAGAGAAACAGTTTGGCTTCTCAAGCTTCTCTTCAGGATTTATATCCAGTCTACATGAGGTACCCATGAAAATTCAACCGGTTTATTCTTCATTTGTGTACAGAGGGGTTACGAGGCGTTTGATATATTTATTTAAAAGTATAAAACATTGCAATTGAATTGTTTTTTTTACTACAGCTCTTCTGTTTAGCTAGCAATAAATTGGAATCCGGTTGTTGGTCGATTGGCGGATCATTTTTCTGAGGGCTATAATCCCTTAAAAAATAATAAGTTTGGTCACTCAATCCACAACTGTTTGTAGGACATTGCTGACCGCAGTTAGCTGCCGTGCTTCCCCCGTAAAATATACAAGCAATTCACTTTCCAGTATATTCTGTAAAGCGCTTTGAGATGTCTCAGCGACGTGATAAGGCGCTATGTCAAATGCAAGCATTATTATAATTTAATCTACCTTTTCTGTAAACCCTTTTATTATCCTTACTTTTACTTTACTATCTAACTTTGCATCCCCCTTTTAAGCACTCCAATTGATTCTGCTTGCTTAGCCTTCTTTCACCTGTAGATGTCCCATAATTGCACTGCCAGCCAGGATACATCTCCATGCAATTTGTAATCCGCAAAGAATCAGAACTATTTGCCTGAAGATTTATTCACATTTTGACCCTGGTAATGTGTAATTTAAAGCAGATGATGAAGGATAAAAACTAAGTCCACTAAGTGCCAGGACAGGTAAATAGGCAGTTAATGAAACAGTAAATTGAGCATGTGTGACATGTCAGCTTTTTTTAGTACAGTTCATCTTAACACAAATAGTTTTAAGGTGCAAATATTTCACATTGTGTTAGTATTGTGAAACATTTTTGTCTTGGAGAACATTCCTGATGCTATGGATGTTACAATCCTATTCCAAATTAATGGGAGGATCAAATAACTTAAATTAGGTTTATCTCGCTGTTCAACATACCACGGCTGACATTTATGTATGAATGATTTGAGTTTACTGTGCTTTTGTACCTGTGCCAATCTGCAGTTTGATCCATTTTATATTTAGTAATAAATTGGCAGTCTAATCTATCATCACACTACTATATAATCTACGCTGTATCTTTAAAACTCTAAAGGATATTTTGGTGATTTCTGTTTTTCTGGCCACAGCTTTTAGGAACCAATTACCCTTCCAATTAATTACAGTATTATGCTCAATTTACACTGCTACATTTCAAAACTGGCAGGAAAGTAATTATTCTTTGCCAGACATCTCTGCTCCAGTGTAAAGAAAAACCCTGAAAGTTAATCTTTGACTTCAGAAGCAACTTTTATCCTTGATTGTGTGTCATGCTTGACCAACCTCATTGAATTATTTGAAGGGGTACCAGAAAGAGTAGACAAGGGTAATGCAGTAGATGTAATATATTTAGATTTCCAAAAATCGTTCGATAACGTGCCACATAGTAGACTAATGAATAAGGTCAGAGCATGTGGATTCAGGGGAAAAACAGCAGAATAGATAGCAAACTGGCTGCAAAACAGAAAACAGAGAGTAGGGGTAAAGGGTAACTAGTCAGATGGGCAGGGGGTGGGCAGTGGTGATCCACAAAGATCGGTATTGGGACCACTGTTGTTCACAATATACATTAATGGTTTGGATTCGGGAATCAGCAGCACAATTTCAAAATTTGCTGATCACACCAAATTGGGGGGAGTAGTTAATTCAGAGGAGGACTGCAACAAATTACGGCAAGACATTAATAAACTTGCTAAGTGGGCATTTAAATGGCAAATGCATTTCAATGTAGAAAAGTGTGAGGTCGTTTGTTTTGGTAGTAGGAATTAGGAAGTCACATACATCCTAGAAAAAAGAAACCTAAATGAGGAGAGGAGCAAAGGGACCTAGGGGTACACATGCACAATTCACTAAAAGTAGCAACGCAGGTTAATAAGGCCATAAAAAAAGCAAAACAGGCATTGGGGTTCATTTCTAGAGGGATAGAAATGAAAAGCAGGGAAGTTATGGTAAACTTCTATAGAACTTTGGTAAGACCACACTGAGAATACTGTGTGAAGTTCTGTTCCCCACATTATAGAAGGGATGTAGAGGCACTGGAGAGGATGCAAAGGAGATTCACAAGAATGATCCCAGAACTGAGAGGTTATATCTCTTAGGAACGTACTTGGACTCTTCTCTCTTGAAAAGAGGAGGTTAAGGGGTAACCTGATGTAGGTTTTTAAAATGGTGAAAGATTTTGATAGGGTAGACATAGGGAAGATGTTTCCACTTGTGGGGGAGACCAAAATCAGGGGCCATCAATATAAAATAGTCACAAATAGATCAAATGGGTAAATTAGAAGAAATTTCTTCACACAGAGAATAGTGGGAATGTGGAACAAGCTACCACAAGGAGTTGTTGAGGCAAATAGCATAGATGTATTTAAGGGAAAACTAGATAGGTACATGAGGGAGAATGGAATAGAAGGTTATGCTTGAAGGCTTAGTTGAGGAAATGCAGGTGGAGGCTCATGTGGAGCATAAACACCGGCAATGACCAGTTGGGCCGAATGGCCTGTTTCTGTGCTGTATATTCTAATGTATGTAATTTTAATTGACAGAGGATAGCTTAGAAACTTTGTGTAAGATTTGCATAAAGTGCTTCATCCTACAAGCTCATAACGATGTTCCTGTTTTTGAAATGTGGGATTTAAGTTAGGTCTACTGAGAACATTTATTTCACTGCCTATAGAGCAAATAAATGGTCTGAGACACTTAGAATTGTTGATAAACTCAAAATGTTTAACAGCAGAAGCAACTTTTATCCTTGATTGTGTGTCCTGCTACCAAAACGCTGGTAATTTTAACCACAATCCACATATTTTCAAATTAAAAAATACATCAGTGTTAGTGCATACAGCATGAATACTCTGATAATTCAATGTTCCAAGTATTCTGAAAAGGAAGAAGCAAGTGGGCTTCCTAGGAAAGGATACTGTTCCAAGTTCTACACTTACGCAACAGTTTATTTTGGTCTGTGTATTTTAGTCATAAAGATATTCCAATTTATTGGCATAAGTACAGTATAGTTTTCCTTGTAAGCAAACTGTCCTTAAATCTCACCTTAGTGTTGAAAACAAGGCAGCTGGCATTATTTGACTTCAGTTGACTTTAGCCCCGTGGATGTTATCCAGTTTGCTGACAAGGAACTTCCTTGCATTTCAACAATTTGCTATCCACAGTTTAATTAAGATAACATCAGGCCCTGTCAATCAGGCAATTAGATGTTGAGAACAACATTTGTACATTTTTATTGTTGGTGGTGATTTTATTTCAGACAAAACATTTGTAGCTGGACAGAGTGGGGTCTTAGCAATGAATGCCACATTTATCCAACGCTTTGGGATGTCCTCCTGACCTGAAAGGCACTATACAAATGTAATTTGTTGTTCTTGTTGTTATCCCATGCAGTGTAATTCTAATTGCTCCTAAAACCAATTGCTCCAGTTAGTGTCAGGAGCAGGGTTCTAGCAACTCCTGCTACATGGGGAACTTAGACTGCATGTTTGATGACTGAGATTCCCTGGCACGAAAGCTCAGAAAACGGAACTTTGATTGAAAAACATATATGGAACTGATTCATTCAGCTGTACAAGGGATCTTTGAATTTTACTGCTACTGCTGACAATCATTGCATTTGCAAAAGTACCTTATCACATCATCAATGTCTCAAAGCATTTCACAGGACTTACTTCATTGTAATTACTGTGTATTTGGGGAATAAACTGACATTGTTGGCATTAGAATATACATCAGAAAAGCCTTTGAAAATAAAGTATTATTTTTCACCTACTTGCGTAGCATTTGGTAGCTCTTTAGAGTTTTAATGGGCAATGGATTTTCATTGGTATGCAATGTTTTAAAACAAAAGATTTTTTATGGTCCATCGGCAGATTTAAATGCTTCACAGTATTCCCATCATGTAAAGTGATTTCTTAACAATAATAACAATAATAATCCTTTCATTTCATTTAGCGCCTTATCATGTCTTCAAGATAATAATAATAATCCTTGCATTTGATATAGCGCTTTTCACGTCGGGAGGACGTCCCAAAGCGCTTCACAGAACACACTGTAAAGTGAATTGACTGTATATTTGTGGGCGAACGCGGCAGCCAATTGCGCACAGCAATGTCCCACAAACAGTTGTAGATTGAAAATGACCAATTTAATTATTGTTTTTGGTTTTTGGAGGGATTATTATTAGGCGTGTGGAGAAAGGAAACTTGCCCAAGGTTTCGCCCTGCCTGGAATTGAACTCAGGTCTCTCGCTTGCAAAGCGAGTGCTCTAACCACTGAGCTAAAGGACTCCAAGATGTCTCAAAGTGCTTCACAGAATATACTGTAAAGTGAATTGACTGTATATTTTGGGGCCGAAACGTGGCAGCCCATTGCGCACAGCTGTGTCCCACAAACAGTCGTGGAATGAGTGACTTAAATTATGATTAAATATGGTCATCCCCGGCAAAGCGATCCACCAACCGTTTAACAACCAGATTCCTATTCACTGCTAAGTAAACAGAGGAGTATGGAGTAAGAAAACTTGCCTAAGATTTTAGACAAAAGCAGCAGCCGTTTGTGCCAGTAGAATCTTGCAAACAGCTGTGCAGTGAATGATCAATTAACCTACTTGATTATTGGCCAGGACAGCAAGGAATCTCCCTTCTGTTTTGATTGATATCTTTAACGTTAACCTTAATAAGAAGATGGAAAGTAAATCAGTTCAGATACTTATAATGTTGCTTTCAAATAGAAGTTTATGAAATGTGAAGTACATTTAAGATAAGTGTTATGGCGAAAGATGGTAGTAATTATTTATTTTATCTGATGAAACATGTTTGAGGTAACCTTAGAGTGGATTATATTTGATTGTTCAGGTCATTCTGACACAAGATATGTCATTTGCTCTAACTATATAACTGTAAATCTTATGCAAATTCATGTAGTACTTCAGTTGAACCACTTTGGCTAATATTTACTGTGAATAATTACTTATTATGCAAGGGCTTCGTAATCCATGTCCCTCACAACTTAAAAACCAAGCTTGAAACGTATAAAAAAAAGTAATATTGTTTTTCTTTTCTAAATCACCCCCCCCACTTTAGTTTTAATTTCAGTGTGTCTGAACACGGACTTAATTCTTGCATCTCAATGTATTTCAGATTGGGAATGCAACCCTGATAGTTTTTGTCAGTTATTTTGGAAGCCGTGTCCACCGACCCCGACTGATTGGAATTGGTGGATTGCTACTTAGTTTGGGGGCTTTGCTGCTCACCTTGGCTCACTTCATTTCTGAACCCTACCAGTACTCCAAGATCAGAGCAGGTATGTGAATGCAACAACAAAGGATTATACGTTTTTAAACTGACTGTGAATTCATTAGAGATAGTTATAATAATAATCCTTGTGTTTGCCCACAAAATATACAGTCAATTCACTTTGCAGTATATTCTATGAAGCGCTTTGAAGACGTCTCGAAGACGTGATAAGGCACTTTACCAAATGCGAGGATTATTTATTATTATTGTATGTTCATTTTATTTCATGTAAAACAAAAGTAGCTGGATTACTTTGGAAGCAGATATTCCAATAATGGGTTCTGTGATGGGGTGAATATGGTAATAGGGAAAGGACTGGTGTACTTAATGTTTGACCTATTGCCCTTTATTCACTCACTTTAGTCATAACAACCACCAATTGATTCTCTTCCAATCAGAATGAATGAAAGTAGTCACATAATTGCCCACAAAGAAACTTTGTAGTTTTCCTCTAAAGGCTTAGATTTCCAATTATAGCTATGTGTTTTAACATGTTACATGCATCTTTGCAATGTTTATTTGTTTTACATTGGCAGGGAACCATGAAAACTACAATGGAAACTACATTGGGCAAAAGAAAAATATTCTACTGTATTCTTTGTCCAATATATTAATAATTGGACAGTACAATATTCAATGATATGTTTGAAAAATATATACATTGTTACCTTTCTTGTCTATTTTAAACTACCAGATACCATTCCCAAGCTAAGAATGAACAGGGAATATTTCACAGGCCCTCTGACATTCCTGCTTTGTAACTTACCACTAAGAAATAAACTGGCATCTGACTCTTGTCTGGTATACCTCAAAGGCATCCTGAGATAGGGAATTTCCTAAGTAGAGAATTGTAGAAGACAGAGTGCGTTGTTGCTCTGGGCTTATCCCTCTGTTGTTAACATATTGGAATATACATAGTGTGTTATAGGGTGCCAGCACCTGTTGTGATGTATTGAGGAACTCTATGATAAATGTTCACTTGTAAGTATTCCATTGCCTGCATTGTTCTTCCTGTTGGGAGTTTAATTGAAATGTAAGATTACTTACAGTTAAACTGCATTATTGTAACATTTTATTCCCAATTCCATGACCATTTATATATTGCCATTAAAATCCTGCCTTACCCAACATCCACCCACATGCACTTTCCAACAAAGACTACTGAACAGCTGGTATTCTGGCTGGTGGATGGCCCTTCTCTTGCCCAGGAGTACACAGAGTACCTAGCATCCCAACTGTTATCTGGATTGAGATCAGCTGGCCAGAATTTAAAACCTTTGAGGATGTTTTTGGTTGTTATGTCTCAGTACTGCACTGACAGTGTCTTTACCCACTGAAACATTGGAGAGCAAGGCATTACAGTTGGGAATAAATTAAATATTCCCTTCAGCTTAACTAACCAGGAAAAATTCTACATTTCAGAACAATTACAATATTATAAATTCTTTTAATAGGGAAAAAAAGTTTAATAATGTAGGAATTAATGATTTTTTTTTTCTCCTGGCAGGAAATTCAAGCTCTCTCAACCTCGACGTCTGCCATCCATTTAACTTGACAGATGGATCTGATTTCTGTAGCACATCTGAACCAAAATATGGCATGAGAAGCGTTTGGGTGATCATGATTGTTGGGCAGTTGCTGGCAGGGATAGGGACAGTCCCTATTCAGCCTTTTGGTATTTCATTTGTGGATGACTTTGCTGAGCCATCAAATTCCCCACTCTATATAGGTGAGTAAAAAAAAGAGAAAAATCAATTTCTTAAAAATACTTCTTTGAAAAAAAAACTTGTTTGGGTAGATATATGACAGCCACAAATTGATACATAACAAAGAAAATGTGGTATTTAAAGACGAACCTTAATTGCATCTCCCTCCACCACTATCCACATGCCTTAGGACAATTTATCATCACAAATTGAATTATAGTAGATGTCTGATCTTATTGACTTGTACTTGTGCAATCAAGGGTACAGATTTTTTAAAATATAAAATGCAAAGTTTTTGAAACACTGTTGACTAATGTTGATATTTTTCCCTTCCTCTCCCCAGCGATCTTGTTTTCCATTTCTGTCTTTGGTCCTGCATTCGGATATTTACTGGGATCTGTGATGTTGCGCTTGTTTGTGGATCTGAATAGAGTGAGCACAGGTAGGTGATAACACCTTCAAAGAATGCTGCGTGTGTGACTAGATATACAAAAAGGCTCTTTTTTTCCCCTTTAGGGAAAGGAATTAATTGTTCCAACATTGCCAAGATAGTGACTCTCCCATTGGTATAATTGCTTGCTACGAAGAAAACTCAGGCACTTGTGATACAGACCGACATTTTAGTAGCCCAGGTACAGTTGAGAAGAGATATAAATATATATATATATATATTGCTTCAATTACTCATAAATGTCAGGGATATTCATGCAATCTGTATGGACTGGAATCACACAAAACAAAACCTAAATCAATGGTTGCCAGCCAACGAATGCATTATTCTTTATTGAATTTTTCTTCATTTATGACCACACCATAATTATCGTGGCTCGTTAACGTTGGCACGGACTTGCCTGATCTGGTCTGGTTGTCTGGCAGGCTACTTCTTGACGCTCCAAGAAGTTAATCACGTTCGACTGATTGATCAAGTCGACCGGTTGGAAACCCCTGCCCTTAATTACAGTGTTTGAACTGCACTACATAGTCCAGAACCACAGCCACTCACTCCCCCTAGTTCGTTTCATCAGTAAAATTACAGCTGTATTGCCTGTACGTAAGTATTGAAAAGATATGCTTGGATGTAGCAGTTTTTGATCTTTATTTACATTTTGGGGATTAGTCACATCTTAAGCAGTAACAAAATATCAATCTGAACATGAAAATAACAGTGTTGTGTTTCATTTCCGTTCAGCTACTTTGAAATTGAAGCCTCATGATCCTCGTTGGATAGGAGCATGGTGGCTGGGACTGCTGGTATCGAGTGGTCTTCTCATGATTACCTCTCTTCCTTATTTCTTCTTCCCAAGACAAATCACCACTCAAAAGGTACAAATTGTTTTTCTTTAAATTAGCTGTTCTTTTATTGCATTATTTTTACTCTTTTAATTTACTTTAATTCATACAGCAGATGTATGCTGAATCATATATTGGACAGCAGTAATTACTGGATCAGGGATGATACTGTGGTCGAATCCTTTTATATACTCTGATACACTGAGGTAGTGGTATTCTGGAGGGATGAGATCAGATGGGCTGAAAGACCTCTTCAGCCTAATAGATTTTGTGAACGTATTTGAAGTAGCAAAAGCAAAATGTCGTGGGATGGGTAGTTCTGGAGGAAATTAATTTACTGCTGATGAGCAATTGTGCTCAGTCAGCCAATCCATCTGCCTTTCTAGCCTCTATGCATTTCAAATATGTTAAAAATATTAAACTTTTTTTAACAGAAGTCGGGAAGTGAAGCTGATATGCTGAGTCAAATGGAAGAGGAAAAGATAGAAGAAATAACGGTAACAGATTTCATTAAAAGTAAGACTTCCATTTGTTTCATCTTAGGCTCCTATCTTTACCCTGACTCCTATTAATAATAATAATAATCCTTGCATTTGATATAGCGCCTTATAATGTCTTCGAGACATCTCAAAGCGCTTCGCAGAATTTATTGAAAAGTGAATTAACTGTATATTTTGTTGGTGTAATGCAGTAACCGATTATGCACAGCAATATGCACACATAGTCGTGGATTGAATGACTAATTTATTATTATTAAGATGTCATTTTGTGCTTTTTCAGGATTCCCCAAAATGCTTGTAAAGCTGCTGTTGAATCCATTCTTCTTCCTTGTTGTATTGGCACAATGCACTTTTTCGTCTGTGCTTGGTGGCCTTTCAACCTTCCTGAATAAGTTCCTGGAACAACAATATGGCTCAACTACTTCCTATGCCAATTTTCTGATTGGTGAGTAATGTAACACTGCACAATATAACTTACAAGATTCCAATGCAAAGATTTGGAATATTTTAAAAGTAATCAAAAATCCATTGTTTTAATGGCTGACATTGGGTGGTTCTCACTTGGCTCGTTGAAAAATTAGGTGATGGTGTGAAATTTCTTGAATTTGTTGCTTCATGTTGGAATCTGACGGGATTTGTACTGGTTTCTGTTTTATTTCAGGTACTGCCCATGAGACGATGATGGCAAATGGATACCTGAAATAATATTTAATAACCTTTCACAATTAACATTTGTCTGTTTCCCAATTCTCCCATTACTGAGCCAAGATAACAGTGGTCTATATTCAACAGCTTCAGTTGTAGACAAAGAAACATTGTTAGCCTCCTGGCACATTTGACATCCTTTATCATTAGTGCAAATGCAAACAATGACTATCCATCATTGTATAATATAACATGACATATCATGATGAAGTGTACCCTGTTGATAAGTCAGTCATGTCACAACGTAAATCCTTTGCAGCTGTGAAAGTGAATAATATTCCATTTGACCAAACACACACAAGTTTAGCTAACAATATGAAAATGCTAGAAAATTGTACTATGAAATATTAAAAATATTAAAACATGGAACTGGCAATCTAACTTGCAGTTGCAGTTAAAACTCTAATTTACCAAATTTGATTGTGGATTTTCAATTTATTAGGTCAAAACAATGAGAAGTTTTTTCTCATATTTCTTTCAAAACTGTTTCCCTCCCCATTTAAAATTTACATCCTCTGGCTCAACTGGCCTGATGCACAAAAAGATAAAATCTGCCCTTACTAAACTTCTAAATGTTTCCTAGCTTGTGCTTAATTAAATCCACCTGGTGTATAAATGTTTATTACAATCTTATTCACTTATTTAACAATATCAAAAAATTTAAATTGCTTAAAATATCAAGTCAAGCTGGTTGCTTCTATCCCACCACAAATATTCATCAACTTGAATACAACATAGCTGTGATGTACTAAATTCAAGGAACATATTAGCTCCAATGTGTTTCCTTCATAAATGATCATTCAATGCCATGAGTTCACCCAAATATAAAATGTGAGAACAATTATACCATGAGCCAAAGCACAGAAGGAGTCTTGTTACTGTCATTTGCTAAGCTTTAGAGGTGGTGGCATCACAATACACAGCAATTTTGCACCCAATAATTCTAGCTGAAGAATGAGTTCCAGATGCATTTTTTACATGCTTTCCCCTCTAGTCTCTTAGGGCCACATGTCAACTGTGAGTGAATGAATGGGATGTTTCTCCTCCTGCCAAATACCTGTCTGAAGCAGCCATTTGGATGAGCAGGAGAATGGCTTATGGATGGCTTTCCTTCCAACTTCTATCTCTGGTTTTGTGGGCAGGCACATAGCCACTGTTTTGTTTTTTTGCCTTCGCACAATACCTTGGGAAATCAAACCATTGATCCAAGATGTTTTCCAGTTGTGCCAATTCAGGCAGTGGGTTAATTACATACTGAGGTCAAATTTGCCATCCATCTGTCATCTATCTCATTGCATGAGCCAAAATTGGATACCCTGGGATTTAGATAGTGGCCTACAACTGTATGTATGTTAGCAATTTCTTTCCTGAAAAGCCAGTCCTGCTAACCAATAATTGAAGGTTGTGAATCGTGAGCCAAAAGTCTCAACACGATGGCGCCAGCTTCACTGACTCCTTCTGTGCTTTGGCTCATGGTATAATTATTCTCACATTTTATGTCGTGTGAGGGGATGTAGATTGTGAAACCATAGTCAGTTTGGCTTCCTTTATAGCAACGCGGATTAACTAAAACCATTATTTCTTTTGTTTAGGTTCTATCAACCTGCCAGCTGCTGCTATTGGGATGCTGTTAGGTGGGATCATTATGAAACGTTTCAATTTTTCCTTGGCCAAGATACCTATGTTCACTGCCTGTGTTCTGATAACTTCATTCATGCTCTCTATCGCCTTGTTTTTCATGGGTTGCTCTACACGGAAGATTGCTGGAATCAACTACAATTACATGAACAGGTAATTTTTAAAAAAAAACGTAAACCATCTAGATATTTAGATAAATTGCAATAAGAAGCAGGAAAAGCAGATCAAAGTACAATAGAGCCAGAAGTAGAGGGAGGAGGAAGAGTGTCACCTCGAAGGTATTCAAAGCTAACATTAATTGCGATATTTGATGCTGTGGACTTTGCAGGTAAAATGGAAGCCCTATAATAAAACTAGAAGCTTGATGCACCTTTTTAAAGTCACAGTTGCCATCAATTTGTCTATCTGCTTTGCACCAGTCTAGAATCTATAACAATTCTAAAATATTCAATTAATCCATATGGAAGATGCAGAACGATTACGATTAATAGTGACTATTATAATTATGGCCTCTCTCTCCCCTCTTTCAAGTCCCACCTGAAAACTTTCCTCTTCGACCGTGCTTACGGCCACCTACCCCCAACCCCCGGCTCGGAGTCAGGCTCCGCCACTGTCAAGTGCTCTGAGACGCTACCCTGCGTGGGGGGGGCGCAATATAAGTGCAAGTTGTTGACTATGGTCTCTTTGAAACTACTCGAACCTCGGCACCTGGTTCAGTCCACAGCTTTCCTTTCTGTCTTACATCTGCTCCCTCACCAAGACTGCCTTCCTTCACCTCTGCCGCATCACTTGTCTCTGTCCTTATCTCACACCCAATGACGCTGAAACACTCATTCACATCTTCTGGTCGTGCTTAGACATTTGCAGTGTCACTCCTCGCTGGTCTCCCATTTGTCTCTGGGGACTCTCCAACCCCTCCCAAGCTCCATCATGCACAAGCTACAATTCTTCCAAAACTGCTTCACCGTCATCCTCAACTGCACTGAGCTCCGCACACCCGAAACTCCAGTACTCACCAATCTCCACTTTTTACTTGTCTCCCAGTATATCAATTTCAAGGTCCTCGCTCTCACTTTCATATCTATCCTCTCTCTGTCACGCCCTATCTCTACAATCTCGTTCTCCCCTCCTCCTGGTCATCTTACCAGTTGTCAAAATACATTACTAAATCTCCTTGACAGGAAGTTAACACAAACAAGTACAATATACTGCTATGTATCTTTACCTACTTTACCCCACCCCATACACAGTGCATATTCCCTAGACAGTTACAGATTGAAACATCTATTAGTATTATCCTTGTGTTTTTGTTCAAACATAACTAGGGTTTGTGCTGTTGATTAGCGATTGTGCTAGTGTCTGATGCTAAAGGCAAATTCAGTGATGGTGTGTTTGAAGTAAACTTGGCATTTAATAGAAGGTTTTATTATTTATTGATCTTGGCAGTACATCTACATCAGATCTCAAGGCTCCGTGTAATGCTCATTGTTCCTGCTTTAACTACACTTACAATCCAGTGTGTGGTTCTGATGGTATAGAGTACATCTCACCGTGCCACGCTGGCTGTAGTGAATCTGTCTTCAATTCTTCCACAAGAAGAATATCGGTGAGTGTATCTGAGATTTATTAAGAAAATAAGTTTTTCTTTCCTCCCCTAATTTGTCTTTATTTTTTCCTTTTCTGACCTAAGTTGGGATGGCGTTGTGGTTTGTTCAAAGGAATGGGTATCTTCTTTTTATCTCATGCTTTTTGTTTGTTTTTATTGTCAGTCTATAAGGGCATAATAATAATATTTACTGTATGATTTAAACAAATGTTATCAGTTGGTGAGAATGTTGATCAATTTACCAGCAAACATGCAGGAAATAAACTGCTATGCGTACTAATTTCCTCCTCTCTTGATAGTCATAGGCAGGCCGATGTGACTGCTCATACATCATGTTGTGAGGGAGAAAGAATAAAAAGAACATTGACTAGGAGAGGGCAATAGAGTCTGTTCCTATATCATTGAGGCATCTGATGAACAACTTGGGTTACCATTAAAATAGATATCTAAGAGGCCCACCCTCCTGATCTGAACTGGTATCATAAATAATTTAGATCCTAAATTGAAGCATGATAACAAGTAGTGGCTCGCAGAGCTGTTAAAATGTTTTGGGGGGGGGGGTTCTTAATTTGTCAGTCTAAGCATGTATTAAAATATTTTACGACATATCTTTCAACTATTATCCCTAAGGTTGCAACGTGATCTGGCATGTGCATTCAGGAACTCAGTCGTTTCCCTGACACTAATGTCCATTGCAATATATATATATTATATATATATTGTGTATGTTCAAGCTTAGACTATATTATAAATGCTTACAATATACACTCTGCCATTTAAATATTAAGTAGGATTGATGAATGTTTTAACATTGGTTTCAAATGTGAGATTTTGACAAAAAAATGTTATGAGATATGAATGTTACTTTGGCCATCAGAATTTGTTTGAGATCGATTCATTTCTTCACTGAATTGAGTGTTATTTCTCACATCTATCCAGACTTACAACAATTGCAGTTGCATTCAGACACCTGGAGGTGAGAACAATGTTTTGCCCGGGAACTGTGCTATCAGCTGTTCTCATCTGCTCCTCCCAGTGATGTTCCTTATCGCTTTCATAGGACTGGTCGCTTCACTCTCCCACAATCCTCTTTACATGATGGTGTTGAGGTAGGAGATGCCATGTATATGCCAAAAATATACAATTTGCTTTTAGTTCTGCTTTTTTGGCCAATTTATTTGACTAACTACTGTTGAATGAAAATTCCTTTGATGACTCGGTGAGTATATTTGCAAGGTGGCACAGTACTCAGCCAGGAAGGTTTGTGTGCTTAGGTTCAACTGAAACTCTGAGCTTACTCAGTTGATCTCAGTTCATAGCTGGGTATGAGAACTGCACATTGTCGTTTCCCTCTGCATTTCTAAGGTTAGGGTTCCTTTTTATGATCATCATCCAACGATTCCTGCTGGAAGTGTGCATGATTAGACATTGGATAAGAATACAAGGCAAACCACACTTTCATCTGTGCCTTTGAAGTGTTGGCAGGACATTGCCTTTGTTCAAATGGCTGAATGGATCTGCACGCTTTTATCATGAATGGCCAGTTTTTAAATTATGTACTTCAGCACGTCAGCAATGCAAGCCTGGATAGTAGTTTGAACAAACAACTGACTCTATTTTGGCTTGTGTTGCCAACTCTATTTTCTGGTTTAATCCATTTGACGTTCTGTGAGATGGTGGGGGGGGGGTGGGGGGGAGAGGTGGGGGGGAGAGGTGGGGTGGGGGGGTGGTACAGGTTTTGGGATTCCATTTTTAATTTAAAAATAAATTGGATACTAGAAATTGGATACTAAAGATAGATGCTAGGCATAGATAACAAGGGATTAATATCATTGACTTAAGATCACAGCCAAAATATGAGATTTCTTACTTATAATCACTTCTGGGATTCTGTTTATTTTAATCATGATTGCAGTTTTGTTTTACATTTTTAGAATATTTTTCCTCTGATGGTAGGATTCATGTCAAACATCCCATGCACACCCTAAGTAGGTGTTACATGGGATCGTTACACAGGAGAATTTATGATGATGGACTAATTATTGCTAGTTTGTAACATAATATCAAACCATATTACCAGGAAGTAACACCCATCGTATAATTAAATATTTTATTTGACAAGTCTTCCTTCACTGGATTAACTTGTGCAATAGCTGTAGGCAAGGCACTTTGAGAGCAGCCATTAAAAAACACAGACAAATACATACTGAGACCTTCTGCACACTCACAAATAATGAAAAAAAAGTTGAATGGTCATCCCAAATCTGATGACTGACAGCAAATTTGCTTGGTGGTGACACTTGTTAGGGAGACTTATTAGAATCATGATTGTCAATGTAGAAAAACAGAATTCTCAAACTGTGATTCCCCTCCTCCTTCCCATTCTCCACTGTTGCTCCGCCCATTGGTACCATCAGATGCACTGCTCTGCTACTGTGCAAAGTTCACCAACCTGTGATTAGAGACCAGTTTTTACAATCTGTTCTCATGGTGATATTGCCCATTGAACAATTCAACTAGAAAGCAGCAGGTTTTTGAAGATTTTTCTACCGGCTCTATGGAAGAGCTACCCCAATAGGTCCCTCTCTCCCGCTCTTTTCCCATATCCTTCTCATTAGTGAATACATTTCCTTAGTTCTTCTTAATGTTTGCCATTATTATTTAACAAAATACTAAAGATGCCTTGTGCAAATTTAATTTGACTGTAGATAAGTGTGAAATGCCAAACCATTTTCCAACTACCATAAAGTGAATTGACAACTCATACTGCAATAATATTAATTAATAGTCTTTACATTTGATTTGGCATCTATAATATTGGAACATATCGAATAATACGTTTCAAAGACAACCATGAAGTGAATGATCAATTTTGAGTGAGGCACATGTTCAATCTGAAAGACCTCCAACATTGCCTTGCAACATACGACCTTGTGTAAAGGTCAATAATTACCTGAATGCCTACACTAAAGATAAAGTCTTTTACTACCAGATAACCTAACCTTTATTCTGGAATGAACAACATGTGAACAACCAAAATATTGAATAATCATTTCTTTCTCATTTCTTCCCTTCCCCTATCAGAGTTGTCAGACAAGAAGAAAAATCATTTGCTATAGGGATCCAGTTCCTGTTAATGAGATTAATTGGTGAGTACAATTCTTTGGAAAATGTTAATTATTGTATTCAGATATCCAGCCCATTGTCTTGTGTGATTAAATTAAAAATGGTTTGATTCTATTGTTGTTTGGTGGTGATTTTGTGATTCATCATTGATTTGGATCCTGTTATCCATACCTGAGCCAGTAGTAGAAAGTTGTGAATATGGGAACACGTGCCCTGTTATCTCTAGTATATCACTTTATTTGTGTGATGCTCACTCACTCGCCCACATTCTGTCATCCCTTGATTCAATTGGAAGTATAAATTGATTGTAAAAATATTAGGAGCTGAGTTTTCATTTGTGTTTATTATTTGAACAGTAATTTCAGCAGTTTAGAATTAGCAGGTAGCTCAAAATCAGATGGCTATGTTTGGTATCTACAACAAGATTACATTTGTATAGCGCCTTTCACATCAGGAGGATGTCCCAAGGTGCTGGACAGTGTACAGCATTTCAGACCTGAGCTGGGGTCGGGGGTGGGGGTGGGGAGGGGAAGGAGGGTGACCGATGGCATGGTCGAAGAGGAGGGTTTTGAAGTGGGACTTGAAGGAGGCTAAAAAGGGGGCGAGATGGAGTGATTAGGGAATGGAATTCCAGAGGTTGGGGGAAGAGTGGCTGAAGGCTCTCCCGCCAATGGTGGGGCGGGTGGTTCGGGGGACGTGGAGTAGGCCAGAGCCGGCTGAGCAGAGGGAGCGGGTTGGTAGGGGGTAAGGAGATTGCAGAGGTAGGGGTGGGGCGAGACCATGGAGGGCTTTGTATGTGAGGACAAGGATCTTGAACCGGATCCTCTGAAGGATAGGGAGCCAATGGAATCGGGCAAGAATGGGGAAGATGGAGTCACGGAGTTTGGTGCGGGAGAGGACATGGGCTGCAGAGTTCTGGATTATCCCAGAGCGGAGGGAGGAGTTGGGAAGGCTGACAAGCAGGGCGTTTGCATAGTCGAGCCTGGAGGTGATGAAGAGTTTCAGCGGCCTGAGGGGTGAGGTAGTGGCAGAGTCGGGCGATGTTACGGAGGTGAGGGAAGGCAGAGCGGGTCATGGCTTGAATGTGGGGGAGAAAAGACAGTTGAGGGTCGAACAAGACACCTAGGTTCCTGACTGGCTTGGTGAGTTGAAGTCTGCAACCATGGAGGTTGATGCTGCCAGAGTCTGAGGCGCTGGCGCGAGCCAATCAAGAGGGCCTCAGTCTAGGATATGTTATAAATTTCTGCAGAGCTTGTCTCTTGTTCTATCATAAAACACCCTTCCAAGTGGCTGCATAATAAAGTGAATCTGGATGCCAAATAGTCTTTGTTAATACAAACTGCTCTGTTTATTTTCTGATCTGTTTCTCTTCTGATTCCAGCATGGTTGCCAGCCCCTGCTTTATTTGGCATGGTTATTGATTCAACTTGCATTAGATGGAGTACGATCTGCAGTGGAAAGAGAGGAGCCTGCCATTACTATGATACAAATCTGTTGAGGAACCGGTATGTTACAATCATAATATTTAAAAATATATATGAGAACAGTGGGGCAGCTGTCTGGAAAGATTTGAACAGCGGCATTTCTGCACCCAAAGTGCACAAGTCCAATGCTGAACTTTGAACTTAAATTACAATGGGCTTTTTCAAGCAATTTTTCTCCAGCTAAATTTACAGCAGGTGTCCAACACTGCTAAGTATAATGTGTAGTTCCACGAGAGCAGTATTTTCCAGCTACGCCCATGTGATGTGATCCAAAGCACAGGATTCAAATTTACCCAATAATTTCTCATTCACTCACAGAATTTGTGAAACTGAAATAATATTGAATATATAATTAAGGACCAAGCACAGTTAGTCCGTGGAGTTCTCTAACTTATTCGTTAGACGACTTGCCTCGCAAGCAAGAGGTCCTGGGTTCGATTCCCGGGCAGGATGAAACTTTAGGCAAGTTTTCTTACTCCACACGCCTCTATTTACCTTGCAGTAACTATGAACCCAATTGTTAGTTGATTGGCGCATTGCTTTACCAGGGGTAATAATCTCTTCAAATTTAAAAAAAATAATTTGGTCACTCAATCCACGACTGTTTGTGGGACACTGCTGTGCGCAATTGTCTGCCGCCTTTTGCCAACAAAGTATACAGTCAATTCACTTTACAGTATATTCTATGAAGCGCTTTGAGACATCTTGAAGCCGTGAAAAGGAGTCTATATAAAGCGCAAGGATTATTATTCTTATTATAGTTAATGTTGCCCAATCCTGGCACATACACACAATAGCACAAGTTGTTATAAATTGGTAAAAAAATATGCAGTCGATTTACTTTTGTGCTTTTTACATGTATTGACATCATACAAAATTAAAATGGATGCGAATTAAAAAAAATACATGGTTCAATGCCCGTCGTCTTTCACAAAGTGAATTGCTTATCTCCGTGAAGCCGGGCTTTTCTAGGTGGGGGGTGGTGGGGTGGGGGGTGGTGAAGAGAGAACAACTCGATCATTTCTTGTGCCATCTAGTGGCCAGTTCAAGATTGTCAGCAAGCATTGTGGAGGAGGATGGCAGGTTTCCCGCTACAGCTGTCACCTGTGAACAAGCGCATGGTTTAGGAGATGAAAGTAAAATGGTCACCAAATGTGGCAACGACGTTTTGTTTCTGAAGGTTTCATGTGTAGAAACTTATTCAAAAGGTAGTTCAGATTATTTATGCTCCAGAGTTGGACTTCCTTTAGAAATGTTTGACAAGTAGATTATGATGATGCAGTTTAGGTTTTCATTCTGAACTATACCAATTTGAAGATCACATTTTTTAAAAAAAAAATCCTATGGTTTACGTTCCCCCGATGGCTAAGTGAGCAAATGCTCTGTTCAATAATGAACATTGAAATCTAACCTCAAACCAAAGTAGAATTTATTTCTGGTCAGTTCCTTTTGGGCACAGGGGGACTGTACCGTGGTTTGGTTTGAATTTAGCTGAACAAGTTCTCAACAAATATGTACTAATATGTGCCAATTAAATAAACAATCTCTTTTTTTAATTTGTTCAGGTTCTTTGGTCTACAAATGATCTATAAAGGGATTGGTATTTTACTAATATTGTTCATTGGTTGGAAAGTGAAGACCACCAGGACACATGTAATTAATGAGAAGACTTCAAGACCAGTATAAAACTGCTGGGAAATGTTTTCAGAATAACTGAGAAGGACCAATCGTGCTTTATTGGCCATTATTTGTAAAAAAATGTATATTTACAGATTAACTACATAAGTAACATTCAGTGGTGTCTCAATTGCTGGATTTGTACACACACTGTTGGCTAACTCATCAAGAATCCAAATGGTTAAACTTCGGTGCACCCAGGGCGGGAGCTGGAGAAATACGATGAACTTATTATAGAGCGAAAGGACAATATCAATTTCTTGAAATGTAATGGTGTAGATGTGAGAAATGTTAGTTTTGATAGGTAGAAAAAGCATAGAAGTGTAAACTTAAGTGACTGTATTTGCACGCAAATGCAAGGTTAAAACAAAATCTTTTAGCATTGGCTGGAGGATCATTTTTATTTGGAGGATAATTTCTGTAATTGGAAGTAAATAAAAAGGATTTATTTGGTTTAGCTAACGTGAAATTATGTAAGCGGCTCACAGACGCGTGCTTACAAGTCGCCTACCATGCCTTTTTTTTGTAAATGTATTGGGGTTAGTTAATTACACAAGTTGCTGATGGTTTACACCACAAATTCCATTACATTATTTTTAATGGCCGCCTCCACCAGCTGTATTGTTATTACTTTATAGATGAAATGGAGATTAGCAGAAAGGAATTCATATGCATTGAGGCTGTTATCATCATGGAAACTACAGCTAGACAATAAAAACATCGACAACACACACTTTCCATCATATATCACTCATCTGAATTTTCTTAAATTTCCGTCTGCTGTATTTCTCTGTCACATTACTGGTTACAAGATCACAAGTTTGATTTGGATGAAGTCCCTTCGGCTCATCCGATTTCAACCCCTCCCCCCCAATCACTCATCAAGCTGCTTTTTAAATGAAATAAAAATGGGTGTATTGGTTTGTTCAAACTGTTAAAGTCTTGTGTAATCCAGTACTTGATAGTCGGGGATTACAGCTGTATTGTGTGAAAAGGCATGAGAGAGTGGTTTGAGAATACCTCTAAAAAAGCACCGGCAAGAATTACAGAATTACAGCTTATGATATTAATTCCTGCATACTAGCAGATACGAATGTTGTTTGAATATTTGCAGTTAGACTCAAGAGAACACAGTGGAATTAATCATTGCGATAAAGAAACATATTGTTCCATTTTGACCCTCACTTGAGCTGATGTGGACTATAGAGTAGGCAGCCTGAAACAAGGGGATTTAAATACCAGACAAACAATAACAGTGCAATTTCCTATACGTAGAGTGACGTCTAGTGAATGGAATAAGACAGCATTTCTCAGATGCAGCCACCCACATGATTTTGTGCAGCCACATCCCCTATTGTAACAGGACATTGTCAAAGTGATCTACAATTTTCTGTTCTTTAGAGCATTGACCCACTATCCCCCATTACTGCTGATTTGTGCTGATGCTGTGTTCAAGGTGAAGGATTTCTCAACAACACATTTTTTGAACTGTAAATGTGACTTTGCGTAGCTCTTTCTATGAGACTGCTTCTGTCTGCAGTGGAGAAAAATGAGTCATGATAAAATAAATTGTGATTGTTGGACACTGTGTTTCAACTTTTATTTAAAATTATTTCACAGTTTGTAAAATATGTAGTATTTTGTGGCCAATGTGTTAAACATAACATTCTGTTGAATTGTATCAGACAGCTAATGATCTGTCTGCAGTACTTCAAGTAACAAGACGATAAAACAATGAACAATGTAGTCGGAAGAGATTACAATTCCCAAAGTAACAGGACATTGTCAAAAGTGATCTAGCGAACATATTAAAGTAATCCCACCTCATATATTTGAGAATCAATGCAATTAATCCGGAATGTCAATTGTGGCTTTCAAAATAAGCTTTGTGTAATCATTGCAAAATGAAATGTTTATCAATTGCTGATGTTTAACATTTGTATTTAGAAAAATAAAATTACGGAGCCATGTTGCATTTCTTAATTCATGTATTTTTGAATACGTAAAATAAATGAGTTTTGGATAGTTTTTATTTTGTTGTGTTATTCGTATCCTTCGGTTACAAGGCATAGAATCAGTAATAGGAATAAATGCACAGAAAGTCCTTGATGGCTGTCTGTAAATTACAGAGAAACAGCATTAACATATGCGGCATAGCAATAATCACATGATCACTGAAGCCATAGATTTAATTTAACTTTTATCTGATATTGTAGTAAATCAATTTAAAGGTAGTTATAAATCTTTCAAATGTTACTTTAAAACGTGTTTGATGAGGCTGTAAGGGTGAATATACATCTTTAACATTTGGCAAGTTTATTTATTGTTTATTTGGTGTAGTGTTTCATGAGGATCAAAAAGTTGGAAGCATTTGATAAGAGTGCTTTTCATGTTGGGAGGATATGTTAGAGCATTCGCAGGTTATACTATAAAGTATAGTGACTGTATTTTGTAGGCAAATTGTGGTTGGGATGGTACATTGAAGTGTTAAAATGGAATTATCAACCTCAGCAGTAAAGATCAATAATTTAAGTGAAGTTATTTGGGATCAGAAATTTGGATAATGTATGGATTGGAATTTCATTTAACAAACGTGAAAGGAGAGTTAGATAACCCGCATTAAATAAAAGTATTCTTGCACCGTTTAGTGACGTACTTTAAGACTGACTCTAGGTTTATGCTAAAAAGTAATAATAATAATAATCATTCTTGCATTCGATATAGCGCCTTATCACTTCTTTGGGACATCTCAAAATCCTTCACAAAATATACTTAAAGTGTAGTGACTGCATATTAGGTGGGCGAAATCAGCAAGGTTGATTCAAACCAGCTGCTAAAGAAAAATAAAAATCAGTTATAAAAACATCTGTTTTACAAAAATAAAGCTGAAAATATTAAATATCTAAAAACAGGAATTTCTCACGAAAAATATACTGGCAGAAAAACAAGTTACGGGACTCAATGGTACGATTCAGGAATCATTGCATCACATAATGTAATGCCAGCAGCCCAAGTAATAGCTTGGTATGTATGCCAAAGGTCCAATTGCTTTGGACTGTGGCACGTTATGTACTGCATTCATTTTTCCATGACTCATTACCCAGTCACTGCCCGGCCGATCAAATAATTGATTGTCTAATTTTGTGTGACATGTGTTTGTTCTGACATATATTTTGGGGTGTAACTGAACCAAGTTCAGGCTTGAAACTTGATATGTTTGAGGTGATTATTCTATTTGCTGGAAATGCTGAGTCCCAGCCGCTACCTTACGGTGCCTGACTTTTTCCTATCAACATTTTGTTTTGTTAGTTTTAGTCATTTTGTGTCATGCCAGTGTTACAGACGCTTACCGTCTGCTGGCTGGCTGACAGACTCAGCTTCATTGATATTTGCTGTTATTTTGGGTGACTGCTCTTCAATTGTCTTGCCAGCTGTGCGGCCAAATGCAAACTCTTCTCTCATGACTAAATCCCTGCAGCACTTTTGAGTAATCTACCTTTCATTGCTTTGTTTGCAATCATGCATCTACGGACTGGCTGAGCCACTGCTTGTCCTATTGACGTTTTGGTGACTAATCAATCAATAGTGTTGTTTCTAATGCTGAATTTTCCTAAGGTTATTGTCTCCTTTATACACAGTCTCCTTTATGCTTTTCAACGGAGTAGATTTGGGCGATGCTGCTCATTGGCTGACGGTGGCTGAGTAATCTTGATGGGGGAGCATTAGGCCAAGCCACAGGATGTTTGTGGGGCTAAGAACATACGGGGACTCCTGTGGGTTGTTAAGCATAAAAGATGAAACTGCACTTTCAGTAATGCTGAAAGATCCCGTGATAAAAAGAGAAGGTGGCCAACAACACCCCCCCAGATAAAATTGGTCATGGCTGTTTGTGGAACATTGCTGTGCACAAATTGGCCTCCATGTTCAGCCACAAAATACACAGTCAATTCACTTTGCAGTCAATCCTGCAAAATGACGCACTAAGGTGATGTATCAAATGCAAGGATTTTAGTTATTATTGATGCATAAATGTCAGCGCTGCTTGGAGTGAGACCAGTGCTGAAATATAAAAAACAGCAGCAAACCTGAGCAGCAATGAGAGGCATCTGCCTCTGTCCCTGACTAACAATCATCTGATTTTAATTGACATTGTCATCCGATTACCAGGCCCAACAGGTGTTTCCCAAGTAACCAGCGAGAGCACATGCTGGAAGATTCTGGAAATTATGGGTCTGAAGAACAAAAGGTGACCTCAGTTCTTAAAAAAAAATGCCGCTTCCAAATATATTTGACAACCACGTCCAATCTTTAGAGTGATGAGTATACGAGAATGACTATAAGGTACTGACCTAAGCACTGTCAAAACTGTCTAAAGAATGAAGCCCAGTTCCAATTCATAACATCTTGAGGTCCTTGGGATGAATTATTGACTTGGATTACTTCAAGGTATCTGTAATTTTATAATATTTGCTGATTGATTTGTGGTTTGTGTCCATTGTTACAGCAGTAAGTTACGAGGCTGCATGCTAATGTGTGTTGTACAGTAACCTTGATATTACGGTGTCCACTGCGAATTCTTTTACCTTTACTGAGGAATTCTTTTGAACAAGACATTGACCTTAGGTCCCATCTGTCTTTTCAGGTGAACATAAGGACCCCATAGCACAATTCAAAAGGAGGATTTTCCAGTTGTCCTAGCCAACAATTCTCTATACAAAAATTCACTTGATAACTGTTTCTGGGACATTGCTCTGCAAATTGCCCGCTATGTTCACTTGTGACAACTTGCATTCATCTCGGAGTGCTGCACAATGGTAAGGGAGAAGGGGGAGTGGGAGTTGTTAGGACAAATACAGTTATCAGTAAACCTTGTGAGGTTTGAGATGTCTCAATGATAGAGACACTATAACAAATGAGAGGATTATTATTTTTATAATCTCTCCCTTTTCCTGAGTGCACATTAAAGTTCAAGCAATAATGAGTGTAGGTTCAGAGGAGAAGAAAAATAAGGCAAGAAAGGAGAGAAATTGGGATTCAGAACAAAAATCAGACATGGAATGAGCGTCAACAAAACCAGAGGGGTGAAACAATGGGCAGGAAAGTAGAATCGGGAACATTAAAGTCACTCCACAAAGCTGTGTGGGGAGATACTGAACATGAAACTGAAGCCAACAAAGCAGGGTGCGTGAGACAAAAGATATGGAATGAGAGTTAGCTGGGAAATGGAGGGTGTGAAAATGAGCAGGAAAGTGGAGATCAGGAAAATTGATCGCAGAATGAGAAAAAGAGAGTACAAGCATTGCATAATGTAGACAAAATAAATTGGGCATTTCCAAAATACAACTTGTTTTGTATGTGAAATGAGAATTTCTCAATGCAGCTAAATATTAATAATTTGGTGATTCTGTTCTAATGCATGCGAAAGCTGGGAAAATAGCGGATTCTTTTTCGGTAAACACCCTTTTCCTGTCAGTCTCATGACATCATTCAATTGTCTTGGCTGGTCTAAAATTCTCTCTTCCTGTCGGTTACAAAAGTACTTACTTCACAAGTGAGTGCTGCCTCTTTGAAGTAACCGTCACGCGGTATTGCTGAAACTATGAGTCACCACAAGAAACTTAATTTTGTCTATGTTGTACAACATTTATACTTCTGTTTTTTTCTCTCTCTCTGTGTGACACCAGTGTTCCTGATTACTGCTTTCCTACATGTTGTTTCATTCTTACGCATTGGATGACTCTCCATACATTGTCTGATTTTCTTCATAATCCTCAATTTCTCTCCTTTCTTGCCTCATTTTGCTTGTTGTTTGACACCTGCCCGTATTCAATCTTGCTTGAACTGTAGGGCACAGTCAGGGGGAAATGGAAGATAAACCGTTTGTGCAATCAGATCAGAAATTAGAATTATTTATCAATTGTCAATTGGAAATTATTTATCAATTAAAAATTGCTGAATTGCATCTTAAAATCTACTGATCAATGTAAGTGGTACTATCTTTGACATTAGAACCACATTCAACGACTGACAATATCATCATATAACTTTGTAAATGCATTCTAATATATACAGATTAATCTAAATCCTGGAAAAGCAGATGGATTATCCTTCAGTAAAAGACCTGCTTTATGTCAATTACACACTGCTCAATCACAGCAGGTCTAGCACAATAACTGCTGTGAAACTCTTTTTGCCAGTCACACGAACCTTAAAGGCTGCCTGATTGTCATTCTTGTCATGCACTGTAACTGTCACTCGCCCCAAGGGACATGTAAGTTTGATTTAAATTTGCACACACACAATATAAATTGTCTGTTACAACTGATAGCAGGTGGCTTGGATTGTGTGTCACAGGGCTAATTAGGTGCAATTTAAATGTAACTGTAATAATACCATTGCTATTTTACTGTAGTGCCATGACTAAAAATGCAATTATCATTAGAAACTTCATAACTATATTGCTATTCATGATTTTTCTAAAAAGTAAAGCATTAACCACGGAACAATTTTGTGATGTGAGCAGCATTTTGTTTAACAAAATAAAACATTTTAACAGCATTAAAGTTTTCACTTTGAGAATTCTGAAATGTTTCAACAATGATAGACAAAAAATTACATCCAGAACAAGTTATCTTTAATTCTGTATTTGAAAATTCCCTGGAAATTAAACACGGCTGCGTGTTACTGTATCATGTGGGTGGATGGAGGAAGATGGAGGACTTTGTCCCCTTTTAACAGATTGAGATCAAATCTTAACATTGGTAATTTGATAGACCCTTGGATAAATGTTATTGTCTGAGTGTGATACAATAGGGCTTCTTAGCTGTTGCTGAACATGTTATAAGCTCATAGGAATGTTTCCAAATGGAAGCTTTTCAATTAAACTCGTGGTTCCTCTCTGGTTGCTGCTGATACAATCGCATTGAGTTTTGTTGAATTCTGTGCTTTCAGGCCAGTATTTTTTATTTCAGCAACATACAGCACATTAGCACACATAGATATAAAGTACATGCTTCTATTTAATCGGT